CCCCAAAACCCCAAAACCCCAAAACCCCAAGATTTTAATTAAAATTTGAACTTCCAATTATTTCTCAATTATACAAATTAATAAATAGCCTAACAGTTGGATTAAGATTAAGGCTAATAAAAAGGAGGAGTACCCAAAAAAGCATATAACCTTGTAACAAATTAAAGATATCTTTGTACCACATTCCTTGTATTTTATATCTATGGGTGATAAATCTCAAAAATACCTCTGAATCTGACTGAATTCTGCCTTTTGCACAAAAGTCCCAAACGTCTTTGAGCTCATGATTAGAAGATTTGCTACTGACAGCCTGAGCAATCAGAAAATGATGTTTGAGGCAAGATGTCCACTGAATGATTAACATAAGTGCTTTGAACCCCTTTAGAAGGATAACTAAACTTATAGTTTCCTCATACTTCTGTACCAGCAGAGCTTAATTTGTTACTCGGTATTGATAACTTAAACACTTTTGATGTTGAATTAATCACATTCTAGCTTTCGTCAACAAATATTAAAGAAATTGTATCAGAATTAGAATACAAGGGAGAAAAGCTATATGAAGTTAACGGGATGAGCTTCCAAACATGAGGATGTTATTTTTACAACATAATCAGTATTTGTGACTTCTGAGCTATCGAAGAAGCCCTGCTCAAATTCAACAGTAATATTCTTCTTATCATTAATAACAATTGTGTTCTCTCCTAAATCTTTAGCTTTGAGTCTTCGAATCTTAAAACTGCTCCATTGTTTATCATAGGTCAAGGTTCAACCATTATCAGTTACTTTAGCACTGATTTGGGTTAAATAATGAAGAGTTGACATTACAATTTGTTTCAAGGATAAAACTTACAGAGATAATGCCCTCGTTCTTGTAAAGAAGCGGCTTTCTCTTCATATTCTGTCTCATGCCAGATCTGGTGATCATAAAAAATAGCAATTTTGAATTCCTTGAAGAAGAGAACCAACTCTAGTTAGTAACGATTGTGTAAAGTACTCAATCCCTCATAGAAAATATTTTTGGGCATCCCAAAAATAGATCTGAAGATCCTTGATACATAACTCAGCCTAGAAAATTCAAGAATTCAGCGCTCTCTAAGAGATAATATAACTGCAAAAGGTTATTTTCAAACTCGACTCTCTTGATGAGGGGGTTTTGGGGTTTTGGGGTTTTGGGG